CAGTTCAGGATGTTTGGTTTTCATCATTGTTCATGCATTTGCCAAATTCATTTGCCAATTCCAAATAGAAGAAAGAGCCATTGAGCGCATAGCTGCCTGGGGCCCTGGGGTCTGGTGACTCCTGCCACGGAGGCCCAACTTCACCACCCTCAAAGGAGGCACCGCACGTGCTGCTCTTTGGGGCCACAATATTAGTTGGAAAAACTCGTTTGTCTTTTTTTGGCCTTGGTTTCTTATTTAGATTTGGTGTAAATATGAGAATTGACTTATTTAAAGAAAGCCAAAAGCAGTTAGCATTTAATCAATCCCCAGTCATGGCGCCTTCATGGATGTCCATGTAGAACCGGGGTGTACCAGACAGCTGATTGTTCACAAGTAGATCACCCACGACTAGGCTTTTCTTCCAAGGAGCTTGTGGGTGGACGCGAACTGCCAACTTTACAGTTTTCAGGTTAACCATTGGCTCCGCCAAAAAGGCAGACCCCTAATAATTAAGAAGTTCGCTTTGTTTTGGGGGGTGGGGGTGCTTTCTGCATTAAGTACTATTGAACTCCAGTTACAAGGTGCGTGTCATTCCACTGTAATTGCAGCAGGCATGGTTGTGGGTGGATTTGTGTATGTTTGTAATATGCGAAGCAATGTGCTTAAACCAAGAAACTAAGTACTTTCTTCTCTTAATGGAAGATGCTCCATGTGCCAACCTGTGGCTGCACCGTGGGATGCACAGCCCACCTCGCCCACAGCCTCGCTTCCCCCAGGCTCTCCTCTCGCGCGCGCGCTCCCTCCTCTACGCCCCACACACACAGAACCAAATCAAAGAGAACCCTTTGGAGAACATGCCCATAGATGGTGCAGCCTGGTGCCACTTGGCCAAGAAAATATGACTGGGCACCCCTCATGCCCCTCAGAGATCCCTGGCTTCTGCATGCTACAGGGCAATTTGTCTTTTATTAATACCCACTTCTGGAGCACTTACTTACACGAGGGACCACTTGAAGTGTGTTTCAGATGTTAACTAACCTAGGTCTCATAACAACTATGTAAGGTAGTGCCTGTAATGATCCCCATTTTATAGATGGGGGACTGAGACAGAGTATAGTTAAGCAAATTGCCCGAGGGGACAAATTCGGAAGCACTAAGGACACCTAAGATGTGAACCCTGTATCATCCTGACACCAACGTCCTCTCTCTTCAGCACCCAAACCAAACCAAATGCACTGATAGTCAATTCTGACTCACAGCGACTCTGTAGATAAAACAGGGCAGAGCTGTCCGTGTGAGTTTCCAAGACTCTTAACTCTCACGGGAGTAGAAAGCCTCCTCGTTCTCCCTCTGAGCAGCTGGTGGTTTCGAACTGCTGACCCAGGTGGTCAGCAGCCCCAAGTGTAACGGCTACACCGCCAGGGCTTCTCCTGGCATAGTCTGTAGCACCGGCAGCTCGTCTTGCTGCCTCATTTTACATCCATGTTGCTCATCACGTGATGACACGAGTCTGTTAACAGCTCCTCTTAAAAAAACAGACTCGTTATCAAAGTGACTGTGATTCAGGGGCACCCCATGCATTGTCAGAGCAGAACTGGTGCCTGGTGTGTTTTTGTTAGTATGGTTGTTGTTTCTGTGGAGTTGTTTTTGTTTTTCTTTGCAGGGTAGGTTGCCAAGTCTTTCCTCCCAGGTGCCTCTGCTGGACTGCACCCGCTAGCTCTCCCTTAGCAGGCTATCACAGTACTCCGACACCACCCGGGGCTTCCACCAGCTCCTCTCTACCTTTCGATCCTTACCTGTCATTAAGGTTCACTACCTTTTAAGCCTTTTTCTTTTCTGATGACAACTCTTTAAGCCCAAAGCACATCCCTACTCAAGCTAGAACTAGCATTCCTTGCTTTTGATGTGCTTTTTTCTCAGGTGGCCCACATGGGGGTGATAACAGTCCCTGTGGCCCTGAGTGGCAGCCCCCTGCCCTCCCTTCTCACATGCACATGCAGCTGGCCTAACTCAGGCTGCCAGAACCCAGGCTGCAGGCCTCCCTCTACAGCTCAGGCTTCCAAAGACCATGAGATCCATTGGCATTAAAACATGATTTGATTTTTTGCATTTTAAAAAATAGGACTTTCAAGAATTCCAGGCGCTTTAATATTTAACTTTGATTCATGTGGTCTTTTATAGCAAATTAAAATTTGATCAGACAACTAATCTGGACTATGAAGAGATGTAAGTGAAGCCGCCAATCATAACCCAGTGACTAAGTGTTTAATATAAAAAACAAATTCGCAGGCCCACCCCAAAGTTGTCTTCCTGTGGCTCATTTGTTCTCATTGGCTGCATCATCAAAGCACAAAGTCAAGCTAATGTTGGCAGTCAGCCGGCTAATTAAAGACATGGTCCTTGTAGGGGGCCAAGAAATCACTTTATTATCCTAATTTCCTGTTATGACTTTGCATATGATTCAAGTGAATAGCACACCATTGCCACATTTCCACTTTGCTGTGTGTTGTACAGATAAAGCAGTGGTGTCTACATGGACAGCAGATGTCTGCATTAAAAGTTAACATTTACGGAAATGTAGCTGGCTGTGTCCACGTTGTTACATGCGTAGATCAGGTGAGGCTTGGCTAACGTGTGAACATGGTAAATCGATTATTTCTTGGACTTCTTCTCACATTCATCTTTTCAAAGAAGACTGACCTCAGGGTTCTCTGCTCCAAGGCTAGTCTGCCCTACTACCTACTACAGAAGAGGAAAAGGTGAACAATGTGGCGTTTTCTCAAAATACTCTGACTTTATAAAACCAGTCCTAAGAATAAGGTAGAAAAGCCATTGTAAAGTATCACCTGTTTCCATGTGCGGCTCTATCGAAACAAAGTACAGTACTTCATTCAATCTCCAGCATCAAAAATAGCAACCTATTAAAATGAGCGCCCACGCTGGTTAGCTCCAATGCGGAGGACATGTGCTAATCAGATGCAGGTCAGGGATTTAATGCCCATGGGATCCAATTAGCCTCATGCTTAAAGAGCCTCCCAGCCTGGGCAGAAATGTGTGCTCAGCCCAGCTGGTCTTGATAACGGCTCTGCTCCTCTTTTAGGGAAGGGAGTACTGGGCCAGGCTTCATCACCTACCATGGCAGTGGCCTTCCAATTGGTCTGCCTACCCTCCAAACCTGGCCAGCCACCCAGCGCCCACCACCGAAGCAACACGTGTGTCTCCCTGGCTTGAATGGCTTTGCTGTGTCACCCAGCTCTTTCCTTCGGTTGGAGTCCCTGGTGGTGCAAACAGTTAATGTGCTTGGATGCTTTCCAAAGGCTTAGGGGTCCAAGTCCACCTAGAATCATCTGAGACGAAAAAGGCCAGTGGTCTACTTCCAGAATATCAGCCATCAAAACCCCCTAGGGACCCTAGGCCGACTCGGGCGCCCCTGGGGTTGCCCTGAGCAAGCGCCAGCTCCACAACCACTGTTTGTTTTGTCTTCTTCTGTTCTCTCCGTTATTTCCTAACTTAGACCAGGCACACCCACCGGTTCTCTTTCCACCCCAACACACCCCAGGGAACCCTCAGCCCCTGTTATCTTTGCTCAGAACTCTCTCCAGCCATCCACGGGCACCTTCTACAGCCAAAATCAAGTCATCGCTGCTTCAGACCCAGATCTTGACCTCGCCACGTGGCATGAGCATTAAAATCGTAGCACCCAAGAGCCCTGAGAGCACAGTAGTAAAGTGCTCGGCTACCAACCAAACAGTGACGCGCACCCACCCAGTGACTGCGGGAGCGAATAGACCTGATGATCCGCCCCCTGAGATCACAGCCAAGAAACCCTACAGGGCAGTCCTACCGGGGGACGCACGACGTCAAAGCCCCCGACTGCAGTAGCATGGTGGAGATTCCAACCAAGATGTGGGACTGATTCTCTTTCAAGAAGCAGACTTTGGGACACACCGAGGGAGCCAACACTGGATCAATGTCTTCCCTCAGCTGCCGGCTGGCATTCGATGTGGGCTTTGAGTCTCAGGTCTCATTGAATTTTCTGTCCCAACCCACTGAGCTCATTGCTGATTTGAACTCATAACAGCCTGATAGGACAGAGTAGAACTCCTCCCTAGTTTCTAGAAGACTATAACCTTTATGGAAATAGAAAGCTGCATCTTCTTCCTACAGAGTGTAATTGTGTAAACCTATATACAATGATAAACATCTATGAATTGTAATTGTGACACGGGCTTTTTAGGAGCCCTGAGAATGCGTCCCTCACCCCCCAATGAAATCATAAAAATCTCAGAAATTCCTTCCACCACCATTCCCGTTTGCCCAACTCACCATCCCAATCTTGGATTAGCTGTCATCTCCTCTGGTACAGCATCCACCTAAAGTGGCCCAAATGACCCTGCACCTTATTACCACACTGCCTCGTGCTCACTGCAAGCAAAGCATGTATGAAAGTGGCTCTGGATGTCTGTCTGAGCTTCTGGGGACAGAAGCTGTGGCCTGGTAACCATTGTCCCCCAAATGCCTGGACTGGAACAACTGATTGAATGAGTGAACACTGCTGTTGGGCAGGAAGGAAAGCTACTAAGACACAGGAAGGTCTTATAAAAAGTAGGGACGACTAGCCTCTAAGTTACCACTTAGAAATAGCCATCAGAATCACACTTCCCTTTGGTGTGCATATAAGCCTAAGTATGTATACGATTCCTGCAAGAAAGTAACAAAGTATGCAGAATATCTACTGGTGGACGGGCAAAGAGCAGTGACTAAGCAATTGACAGAAGACTATAAATGGCCCATGTGAACCAAAAATAGCCTACATCAATAGTGATTTTTAACTTCATTAAAATAAGATACAATGTGTACAGATTAGCAAAGTGTCCATAAAAAAGGGAGAATTCAGTGAAATGTACCATTTCCTGCATTTCAGTGAAAACTAGTAATTCCTTTAAACACACACACACACACACACATACCACATCCAAGTCCAGGAACCGATCTTCATGAAATAGAGAAGGGATAGAGTGTTGCTGTGGCTGTAGATGGTTGTCTAAGTCTTGTGTGTCAGAGAAATGTATTGGAAACACCATGATGTCTATCCATAGAAGAATGTCTATCCATAGACTAGATAGTTGATTGTTATGTATGCATCGTTGTCTTTAGAAGCATAAGAAAGTGCTCACAATGCAATGTTAAGGGAGGGAAAGCAAGATGCAAAACCGAATATACAGTTTGATTCCATCTGTTGAAAACAAAATCAGATAAATAATAATACGCCAAATAATAAAAAACGGTTACCTCTTGGTTCAGAAATGATGGTTGTCATTCCCTTATTTTCACCTGTCATATTGTTCACATTTTCTCACAATGAGACCAGGAAGGAAGAGAAAGGTTTTAAAGAAGGCTTCCCTCCGGCAATTCACCCTTTCGTTAATACTTGCCATGGGATGGTGCAAGGACTGAGTCATGAGGGTATCCTACCCAGATCCAGGAGCTCCGTGTAGAAAGACTCGATTCTCTGACTGACCCCTTCAGTCCTGGGTCATCTACCTGCCGTCGGTCTGGCTTTGCACTGGAGTGGGCACGGGATGAAACTTGGTCTGCCAGTGGGAAGGTCTTGGGCGTGTAACCGTGTCCTGTGCCGTCCGTGCAGCAACCCTGACCTCCGGAGAACAGAGCCCGTCCTGGAGAGTCCCCTGCAGAGGACCAGCAGCGGCAGCTCCTCTAGTTCAAGCACCCCCAGCTCCCAGCCCAGTTCCCAAGGAGGCTCTCAGCCTGGATCACAAGCAGGTTCCAGCGAACGGACCAGAGTTCGAGGTAAAACTTTCTCTTACCTTCTAATTGATCATGTTTCTTGGGTAGGACAGCCGAGGGCCAGGATCCTAATGCCTGGCCCTGACATGACATGGCCACCGACAGTGATACTGAAAAGCCATTTAAGTCTCAGTCCTCTTATGGAAGTGACCTATCACCCCCAATTGTGGGTGATGTCAGAGGCACACCAAATCCTTCCTCCCCTCGGAACCCATTGGTTTCCAAAGAGATAAAGGGCTCCCAGAATATGCATCTAATTTGTAGATATCACTTATCCAACACTTTTAACTCCATCCCCATCAAAATGATTCCAACTCCTGACAGCCCTACAGGACAGTGCACCTGCCCCCTGTGGTCTCAAAGAAGCAGACTGTCACTCCCCCACCCCTGGGGAGGGGGTGGCAGAGTCAAACCACAGGCCTGCTGGTTAGCAGCTCAGTTCTTTGCCACTGTGTCTGTCAACTCCATTTCCGCTTCCATTTGATTGCCTTGCTAGCGTTTGCTAAGCCCCTAGTCCCCTGTTACCAATGCACCCATAGCATTCCAAGCGTAGAAACAAACCCACGTTGATTCAGACGCATGACAACCCTGCATAGGGTGTCTGAGACGGTCAGTCCTTATGGAACCACCAGCTTGTCGTTCAAGTCCAACACTCCGCTGGACAGCGCCACCAGGGCTCCTTATTGTGAGCCCGGTGCTAGGTGTTTCTGAATGTGACATTCCATAGAGTCTACGGGAGAACACATGCACTTGAAGGAAGACATCAAATCTTTGGCTTTAAAAAGATATTCATTTTCGTCTTCAGATGATGCCTATTTAGAGAGGTACAAATTAGCATCTCCGGACATTGCATTGAAGTCCTCTTCATCATCACTCAGTTTTCAATTAATGAAGATACCTATGAAAAGCCTTAATATTGTCCAGCTAATTATACATGAAAATGCACTGTTGCTAGTTCATCAAAATTCACTCTTTCTGAATGGGTTTCTTCAACAGACACTTTGGTTTCCAAGCAATAAAGACCAGTAACTTTTTCAAAGTGCCATTTGAGAAATATTCATTTACTTACAATTGTTCTGCCAGAGGAAAACCAGCCAGTCCTTGCTCTTGCTTAGGGATTCTTGCCTGGTTCTGCCCTAATGCCCTTAAAGGGTTTGTAGACGTGAAAACACATTGAACGGACAGTTTGAAAGAAGTTGATGTCTGGCTTCTGTTGCTCCCATCTCTGACTCAGGCTATAACTGCCTTCATATATGCATTCTTCTCTCAGAAATACAGCCCACAGCTAATGTATTCAAGGGGCCTTAAGCAGTTCGTGGAAAAACACCATTATCTTTCCATTCCATTCTTCCACAAACTTTAAAAAATCATCATATTCCTTTGTTGCCTTGACACCAATGTACATATTTTAATTTAGAGACCCTGCTCATTTCCTTACCTTCTTTCATTTTCTTAAGAGCTAATGAATATCCCATGGAGTAAACTTTAAAGAAAAATGAACTCACACCGGTAATTTTGATTTGGGGATCTGTGAGTTAGTTCTGGTTTAGTTACTCTTACGTTTGGAACTAAATGACTTCTCATCTCTCCGGCATATCCAGAAAGACCACTTTGAGATAAAGCAAGAAATCTCCCTGGCTTCTTCTCTGCCTATAGCTTTTTTTTAAACCAAACCAGTTGCCATTGGGTAGATGCCCACTCACGGGTCAGAGTAAAATGTGCTCTAAGGGTTTTTGAATGGCTGGCTTTGAGAAGTAGAGTACTAACTAGGCTTTTCTTCTGAGAGAACTCAAATATTTAGCAATTAGGATAGCAACCAAGTACATTAATTGTTTGAACTTCTTAGGGACTCCTTAAGTAAAGGGTACACTACAGCCGTGAAGGAGCTCCCATCCTTGCTCTGCACCTCAATTTTACCACCTCTCCCCTTGATCATCAACACCCTCCCTCCTGTCCCCACCGTGTTTGAAAATGGTCCTGCCAAATGGAATAGGCCTCAGTGCTTCCACTGAACGTCATCTCAACCGCCTCTCTTGGTGAGGAGGTAGTAAAGAGAGAGACCCTAACTTGCACGCTGATGTCACCTAACGGTAGAGAATGGGCTTTGAGATACCAGACAGAACCTCAGCTCTGCCTGTTATTTTTATCAAGACCTTAGGTCGGCCGCATCATCTCTCTCAGCCTGGGTTGGACAGTGGAATAAAAAGAGAGTCCGCCGCGCAGGACTGGAGTGCGGCCTGCACGAGGCAGTGGGCGTAGAAAGCTTCACCTAGCAGACGTTCGACTAGTGGTCACGGCGGTGGTAGCAGTTGTGGCTATTTTTCATATCATCATTAGTGGCCTCCAGGTTACAAGCCTACCTGTATTTGCCTGGTCTCTTTGAGCATTTATGGTTATTCCACGGATGTGCCTGGGAATTTGCCTCAGTGAGTGGGCTGTGCCCACTGAGTCATCCTGGAGAGATTCTGCCTCACAGAGCTCAGGAGCTTGTGCCTGCACTTCTTTGACATTCTTTTTCTTGGCCTCCTGTTTGTTTGTTTGTTTTCACTAGCCAACAGTAAGTCAGAAGGCTCTCCTGTGCTCCCCCACGAACCTTCCAAAGCGAAGCCAGAAGAATCCAGGGACATTACCCGGCCCAGTCGGCCAGCTGTGAGTGCTTTCTCTCTTAAGGGTTTTCAACGCCTCTAACTTACCAGAGAGTCTACAGGACACAAATGTTGGGTGATACACTCATGGTTATGGGGAGGTGGATCCTGCAGTTTAATGAACAATCACAGGTGCTAGACACCTCCAGAGGGAGGGTGGACCTGGTTAGGAAAGAACTGAGCAGGTGCTGGATGGCCCTTCCTCCCGTTACCTGCTTGTTGATGTTTTGCTAGCCATTAGCCCTGCTGTAGAGAAGAAACAGGATGCAGGATAATCCATAGCATTTCATAATTTCTACTCACGAGCCTGGGCAAAAAGGGAGACTTGAGTACTTTATATAAGTGTCTCTTATGTTTCCCTACACTCTCCCCCATCTTATTTCTAGATGAAATAATAATTGCAATGTTTCTGCCCCTTTTCATGCAGATAGGATTATTTCCTGGGGGGTCTAAACTTAATAAGCAAGATGTGTCCAGGAGCCAGGAGATGTGAATTCTGAGTACAACTCCCTCACTGCCCTTGAGTTGATTCACACACACAGTGACTCGAGACAGGGCCGCCAGGAGTGTAAATCTCCAGGGGGGCCAAACGACCTTGCCTTTCTCCCATATGAGTGGCTGATGGGTTTGAATAACTGATCTTGCTGGTAGTAGCCCAATGCCTAACACAAAGCCCCCCCAAAACCAAAGCTACCTGCTATTGAGTTGATTCTAACTCATAAAGACCGTCTAGGACAGAGCAGAACTTCCCCTTTGGGTTGCCAAGACTGTCGACCTTTATAGTAGGCAGCCTCATCTTTCTCCCACAGAGCACCTGGTGGGTTTGAACGGATGACCTTGTGGTTAGCAGCTCTGTGCACTCCCCACTGTGCCATCAGGGATCCTAATGCACATCACAGACCCCCAAATAGTCTTTTGTACATAGTATAAAAGCTGAAAGTATAGTTACTGCACATTTATTTAAGGCTCAAACCTAAGAACAATTGTGAGTATGTATGGATGTATGGATTATGATAAGAGTTGTACAAGCCCCCAGTAAAGTGTTTAAAAACAAACAAACAATTGTGAGGCTGGCACTGGACCACACAGTGTTTCATTCTGTCGTGCGAGGGTCACTATAAGTTGGTACTGACTCAACTGCCTCTAACAGCAGCAATATACACTTATTTAACATGATCTGAGAATCTTCTGTATGCAAAGAATGGAAGGCTTTTATATACTCTTATTTCAATTTAAAATTATTTTTTAACATTTTAGAATAAGAAATATACACCGAAAGGGATAGGAAAGAGAATTTATCATTTGGGGTTGAATTTATCTTTGCTCCTTTGTATTTTGTATATCACCTTTATACTAACCACTCCAGTTTTGTGTCTAACCTGCTTGCCTTTCTTCTGGTTTTCTTCCTTCTCTGGATTCCTCTGGACTGGGCTCCTCTTGTCTCAGAGCTATAAGAAAGCTATAGATGAGGTTAGTACGACCTTTTCTTGCTCATGCGTTCATAAGATGTAAATATAACACTGAATCTTGACATTCAAAATGGCGGCCAGTGGGATCACAGCTTAGCATTCACTTGTTTAGAATTATCTACATAGATGGGAGGATCTTCGATAGAAACCAGCCCAAGATCTCAGACACCCTTATGACCTTTAAAAACCTTCCATCTAAGACAAAGTTCCACTCTTCCATTGCCCCAGCCTGGCTAACAACCAGCATGAGGTGCCTTATTAATGGCACCATTTCTCAGACCTGTATCTTCCGACAGCCAAGCCTGAGCTCTTAGCCTGTGTGCACCAGCCTTGCTGGGAGATGGCTCTGCGAGGCTTTACTAGCAAAGAAAAGAGACATCATTCTGGGCACTCCAAATTTATCGTGTGTGATTTGCGAACAAGGAGTTCCTGGGTATTGTTAGATTCATTTTGTGGGACATTAACAACAGCATCAGCAGCAACATCGACTTTAGTTAATGAATCCCAGCGAGCTAAGTGACTCTATTTCCTTAGCCGTGGAGACATTTTTCCATTAGGAAAATGTATGACTTTGTCAATTGTAGATAGTTGGCTAAGAGAGATGACTGCCTTCCCACTGTTTGTCAGACCTGTATGAATCCAGCAAAGGGTTCTTTCTTTGTTTGTTTCCTTTTTAAGAGTCAGACCTTGCAAAGAAGCCCAGTGCGTGCAGTCCGGAGATCACCATTATGGCTGTAAGGCTGACGCTCTGCTGAGCACCCTTTTAATGGGATGAGATGCTAAAGCACTGACTCTGAGATCAACAGGCCGTATCCAAAGACGGGAGCCCCTAGTAAACCACTGATTGACAAGCCATGCCATGCACAGAGCTCCCAATCTGTGCAATGGGGAGGAAAGCCCCTGACTGACTCACTCACAGAATCATTCGGGATCTCTCAAGGCTTGCGTGTGGACGTCTGTTATCAAATATGAACTGCTGCATAAACCCAAGAGGTTGTGGTCATGGCTAAGGGTTGGGCCTGAGGCATGGAGCTATGGTGGCAGGAGGGAGAAACGTGCTCCTATGCATCTCATCTTCCCCAAAGAACATCACTTTATGAGAATTAGGAACACCTCACCCATGAGAGTCAGAGAGCGCACGGAAACCATCAACCCCCTTAGTGCATTGATTCCAACTCATAGCAGTGTGATAGGACAGTGTAGACCTGCCCCAGTGGGTTTCTGAGGCTGTAATTCTTTCCAAGCATAGAGAGCCTCCTCTGTCTCTCTCAGAGCAGTGGGTGGTTTCCAACCACTGACCTCACAATGAGCAGCCCAACATGTAACCTATGCCACCAGGTCTCTTGATTACAATCCTAGGTGGTAGATTATTGCTTATAAAAACAAAGAACAAGACCCTACGTGTGTGCATTTTGTGGATGGCATTAATATAAAAGGAGAAAGGTGGTTTTTTAATTGCTCTGTGCCACGCCTTGCCCATCCTCCCCATCATAGTGAGAAGTGTGAGAGTTGTCACAATTTCCATCAATTTCCTCCCCCAAAAAAGAGTAGAAAAAAAGCCAATGGTCTGGTGCTCTGGTTGCTCACCAAAGGGCTCTCTATGTGTGTGCAGAGAACCCCCCTTCACCCCACGCCACCCCCAGTGCCCTGGAGATGCCACACTAGGAGGGAAAAGAGCTCGAGACGATCCTGTATAAAAATCTATAGAGGGTTTTTTAAGGTTTTTGAGAAGCGCTTTACCGGTGTGCTTTGGAGTACTCCAGCACCCTGGACAGAGATGGGAAGACTCACAGGATGGACGGGAGTGAGTGTGTTAGTGGCACACCAACTCCTTGGGGCATATGCCCATAGAAAGGGACTCCAGGTGATTCTGATAACCCTGATCTGATAACGCAGTACCCCCACCACACACATCCAAAATTCATTGACATGAGTCAATTCTGATTCATAGCAACACTATAGGATGGAGTAGAACTGCCCTTTGTTTCTGAATCTGTAACTCTTTACGGGAGTAGAGAGCCTCAGCTTTTTCCTGCTGAGCCACTGAAAATATAAGATTATTTGGCTCTACCTAACACAGTGGTTCTCAACTGGATGACCACCAC